TGGAGAATTTGACTGTAATGATGACGGTAATGGTAATGGTGATAAAAATACGATAATAATAATAATAAATATGACAACAGGAAAAATAACAACGATGATAAATATTAATAAGATAAGATAAACCAAGATCATCAGTTAAAATAAACATAAAAAAATCAAATAAAAAATTACTTCAGACATCCCTGAACACCAGATTCTGAACAGCAACTTGTACCATTCAGTTCAAGGGCGTCCATATCCCTCAGAATGAATCCAAATATGGAAAGAAAAGAATATATATATTATATATATATATATATATATATATATATATATATATATATATGTATATATATATATATATATATTATATATATATATTCATACATGTTATAGAAAAGAGAAAGAAAAGAAAGGAAATGAGAGGAAAAAAATGGGAAAGAGAAAAGAAAAGGCTAATAGAAAGGAGAAAGAAAAAAGAAAAAATAAAGAAAGAGCCGGAACAAGTAAAGGAGAAAAAAAGAAAAAAAAAGAAAAAAGCAGGGAACAAGTAAAGGAGAAAGGAGAAGAAAAAAGAAAAGAGAAAAGAAAAAAGAAAGAAATAAGAAAGAGAGAAAGAAAGAAGAAAAAGAAAAAAAAAAGAAGAGAGAAAGAAAAAGAAGAGAAAAAAAAGAAACAAAAAGGTGATGCAGACACGTTTCTGCTGTAACTCAGGCAGGGTTAGCGTCTGATGTATGGGAGATGCTACTACGTTCCTATATACAACGTGTGTGTGTGTGTGTACGTGTACGTTTGCGTGTGCACGTACATGCGTTCCATTTACAAAACATCAAAATACATTCATATGTATATTTTTTTCGTCATTAAAAGAACCTTCTAATAAAAAAAAAAAACAAAGTGTCCATTTTACAACACAAGAAAAGTTTTTCCATGCCAAGTTCTTTCGCGACCAAACACCCATGTCATATCTTTTCTCTCTCTCTTATTTTTTCTCTCAATTTTGAAATCTGGAATGTTTGTCAAGGTCGTCTCTGTACCTGGTCGTCGCGCTGGAATGCCACAAGCAAAACCATACGTTTCGCTATCTTTGTTTTGGACACTTGCCATCTTAAGAGGAACCAAGATCTGCGGCTCTCAAACACTCTTTTTGCTCTTGGTTTGCTGTTGTGTGGAGAAGTTCTCGTCGTTCTTCTGATTTGTTGGTGGCCTTTGGTATGATCCAGTGACTGTAGAGCTAATTCAGTGACTATAGAGCAAATGGAGCACGTATTTAGAGGGATTTTCGTATATTTAATTCGGGGCGACGGCTAGTCTCTCTACCAGCCACTTCCAACAGTGGTCGTTTGCCTAAAGGGGTCCGGGAACTTTTTCCTGCAACTGTACCTCATGTCACCAACGAAGAACAAAGACAGCATGCAGTACCAACAGTAACATGTTATGAGTGAGATTACACTGCACTACATGCCATTTTGAAAAGGCAGTGTTCATAACAGTTACACTGAACAGGACTTGCTTATCTCGGGTTATACATTTTGTTAAGCCGCGTCCTCGAAGCGATTTTCTCCTATGGTCTGATCAGTAGCCAAGGCCGTATAAACATTCTTAAAAATAGTCATCCGTTTATCCCGTGCGTCATCATGACTGGTTCCTCTCTGCATGGGAACGTCTTCCTTCAGTGTCGGAGATGTAACACAGCGATGCATGAAAGCAACTGCTTCTCATCCCTTTGACATGTCTTCATGAAAACCGCCTGAGTCACTCGTTATGCGGTGTTATTAGCAAACACTCCTCGGTGATTATTAGCTAATCTAACGGTGAACATTATACCACACTCGCCGGCGAGCCGTAGTTCGAGGGGAGCAAAAACTAGCGAGGTCGGTGTCCTTTATCTCCGGTCGTCATAGGCAAGCCCACAGCGCTGGCCAGTTAAAAGTGGGACTTCTGGAACACGTAGCCCACGATTGGCCGTCCTTTCGAAGGGGGGCGTCGCGGAAACGTTGAAGAATACGCCTAAAGAAGAGACACCTTGCCTCGACATAGCCCCAAGACCCATCGTTCGTGCCCTCAGGCTGGGATATCATTCATGGCGTCTAGAAACTGCAGTTCATTCGAAGGGTTTTGGCTGCGACGCCTCCTTCTTCCGATTTCGTCTGCAACGCCCCAGAAGGAAAGAAAAGGGATCTGCTTTGCGGACTGCAGAGCCAAGACCTGGAGAGACATATCCCCAGGATGGAGAAGGAGGTAGGGTAGGGCAGGATAGGGCAGGGTAGGGGTGGGTGGGGAGGAGGGGTGGGAAGAAAGGGACCTGCGAGGAAGAGAGAGGGAGGGAGTAGGAGCCGTAGGATGAGGTGGGGAGGGGAGGGGAGGGGGACTGTGGTAGCGGTCTTGGTCTTAGACAGCCAGTCTCTCGCGCGAGTCCGACCTGGAAGTGTATCCGTAGGATCTTTCGTCTGAGCGTCCTTCAGCTGTGAGCGACCGTTGCTTAGGACACCCGTTTGCCTCTACAGTACGTAGGGATGGAATCTAGGGACGCCCACACCCATCCCTTGTTACGCCCTAAAGTGTAAGCGGGGGCACCAGTGGGGGGACCTTTTACCTCGTCGGGAGTGCGACACACGCGCCGATTGCCGTATCCATTACTCGATCATTAAAAACCAAATGCCACAGGTAAGTCGAACTAATCATTCCCCGATAACACAGGGTACTGAAGCTACTTGTCAATTCTTATGCGATTTATATTCAAATCAGCTGAGGAAGGGAGGCAGTTGTATAGGCATACCCTCCAACGTTCAGGAATACGTGTTCCAGGTCACTCCTCGTGTTCTGGGTCAAGTGAGCATACAACGTGGTACGGCGGAGGGGGGGACTGCCACGTGGCCTTCGTGCTATGGCGTGAACGTTTATTTGCTTTCTTTACTGATCTTATTTACGGCTATTTTGTGTTTTGTTTTGTGTGATAGCGGGAAGAGGGGGAGCTTAACTAGTGCAGCGTTCAAGGACATGCGCAAATAACCTTAGGCGTGGGTGTGGCGGCGATTCCACAGTCGAGATTGGAGGGCAGTGTTCTGGTGACCTCTCTCGCATGCCAAAAATAAATGCGGTGTATTATTGCATATTTGCGAAAGTAGATTGGTATCACACACACACATGCACGCACGCACGTACACACCCACACACATAGACCCAAGCGCACAAACACACACACACACACACACACGCCACACACACACACACTCAAACGCACACACACACACTCAAACACACACACACACACACAACCACTCAAACACACACACACACATTATTTTCTACTGTGAAACGCTACTTATCCAAAATATATACACACCGATTTACGCACGTCTTCCGGAACAAAATCCCTCAACCCAAGAACAGAAAGGGAATCAAAAGTCCACCAAGCAAGGCATCTTCAACCAACGTATTAATAAGAGTAATTAATTCACTAACCTATACATCGCCAAGAATAATTTATTCAATCATCCAATACGCTAATGAGAGGAATACAGTAATTCAACCAATACATTAATACCAGTAACTTGATCATGAAAATACACCAATAAGAGGAATAGAATAATTCAACCAATACAATGATACCAGTAATTTAATCATGAAAATACACAATACATTAACCCCAGTAATTTAATCTTGAAAATACACCAATAAGAGGAATACAATAAATCAGCCAATACATTAATACCAGTAATTCAATCATGTAGATACACCAAGAGGAATACAATAAATCAACCAACAGATTACTACCAGTAATTTAATCATGAAAATACACCAACAAGAGGAATACAATAAATCAACCAACACATTGATACCAGTAATTTAATCATGAAGATACACCAACAAGAGGATTACAATAATTCAACCAACACATTGATACCAGTAATTTAATCGAAAATACGCGCAATATACGCTAAAATAAGAGCAATTTGGTCATCATAGCCCCAGTGGAATCATGAAGATACACAATAACAGGAATCAATAATTAACCATTGATACCAGTAATTTAATCAGATACACACACATTGATACCACCAACAAGAGGATTACAATAATCAACCAACACATTGATACCAGTATATTTAATCATGAAGATACACCAATAACGGAATACAATAATTCAACAAACAATTGATACCAGTAATTTAATCATGAAGATACACCAACAAGAGGAATACAATAATTCAACCAACACATTGATACCAGTAATTTAATCGAAAATACGCGCAATATACGCTAAAATAAGAGCAATTTGGTCATCATAGCCCCAGTGGAACGAGCTTAGTTCAACGGCCGGGCGAGGTCCTCCACCGATGTCAGCTGGTTCCTCGCTCGTCACCAGGTTCTAGGTGGTCGCATCGCTATGTGGTGTGTGTCGGAGGGAGAAGGGTGACGTGAGGGAGAAGGGTGACGTGAGGGAGAAGGGTGAAGTGAGGGAGAAAGGTGACGTGATGAAAGGAGAAGTGACATGGGTGAGGGTGAATGAGGGGTGAGGGAGAAGAGTGACATGAGGGTGAGGAAGAAGGGTGACGTGAGGGTGAGGGTGAATCTAGTGTGAAACTGTATTTATATTTGGTTGATTTGGTTGTCCAGTCTGATGGTGTGTATATTTTAAAATGGGGGAGAGGGAAGAGAGGGAAGAAGAGGGAGGAGAGGGGAGGAGAGAGAGAGAGAGAAGAGAGAGAAGAGAGAGAGAGAGAGAGAGAGAGAGAAGAGAGAGAGAGAGAGAGAGAGAGAGAGAGGAGAGAGAGAGAGAGAGAGGAAGAGAGAGAGAGAGGGGGGAGAGAGAGAAGAGAGAGGGAGGGAGGGAGGGAGAGGAAGAAAAGAGAGAGAGAGAGAGAGAGGGAGAAAGAGAGAGAGAGAGAGAGAGAGAGAGAGGCAGACAGACAGACAGACAGACAGACAGACACAGAGACAAAGACCGACATAGACATACATGCAGACAGAAGCAAACACATGGAAACAGAAAGACAGACTGGCAGAAACAGAGACAATAAGAGAGAGACAGAGAGGAATTCACCGCCCGCCGAAAATATCTCCAGAGACGCCATCTATTGGTGATATTTACGACTTCAGACTTCGCGAAGGAACGGTTCTCTTGAGCAAAACAAGGAACACAGCACCCAACACGCTCCCTGACCTAGTTTCCAAGCATATTCTGATGCCAATTTGACGCCACTTGAAAACGGTCAAACAAATCAGGCGATAAATTGGGTAGGTACGCGACATCTTGTCACTGGTTCCAGGAGCTTCCTTGAACTGGAGAGAGAGTAGAGAGAAGAGAGAGAGGAAGGAGAGAGGAGAGTAAGAGGAGAGAGGAAGGAGCGAGAGAGAGAGAGAGAGAGAGAGAAAGAGAGAGAGAAAGTCATCACAATTTTGGTCCTCCACTTTCTCAGGTCCTCCTTCCCCGCGTCTCCCGTTGCCCCTTTTCTTCCCGCGTGCGTCTTGAGGAAAAGAAAATTCAAGCCAGTTTATGTTCAAAATGGCGGTCTGTTTGAGGTATTGATTGCTTTTAGAAAGTGTTCATGTGTAGGAAGGAAGGTGTTGTACTGAGGTATTTTTGGATTTTTTTTTTTTATCGTGGACATGTGGTGGAAATAAAACTGAATCCCGGGGGGAATATATTGTTCGTATCATATTCTTTATAGGAGACCAAATACAGTGAAACAGAAGAGAGACGGGGATAGTAAGTGTGTGTGTTTAGAGAGTGGGGATAGAGAGAGTGAGAAAGAGAGAAGAATAGAGAGGGAGAGAGAGAGAGAGACAGACAGAGAGAATGAAAGAGAGAGAGAGAGAGAAGATAAAGTAGAGAGAGACAAAGAAAGTAGAGATGGTGGTGGGATTCTTCATCAGTCTCTGTGATTCGAAAGTCTTATTAATTTGGGGAAAGAGGTGAAAGAGCCCGTTATTGATATACTAGGATGATTGATGTTTATTTTTACATGAATTGATAGGCGTCTTGTGTGTAAATTCTTTCTCTATACATTTTCCTTATCTTTTCTCTTCTCCTATATTTTTTTCTATTTTTTCTATTTTTTCTCTTTCGTCTCTTTGGTCTTCGTTCTCTATATTTTTCTTTCTTTCGCTCTGCTTCCTATAGTTTGTTTGTTTTCTTTCTCTCTTCTTCTCTATATAGTTTTCCTCATTTGTCTTTCTTCTCTCTATATTTTCTTTTTCTTTCTCTTTTTCGTCATCTTAATATTCTCTTTTCTTTCTCCCTCTCTTATATTTTCTCTATATCTTTCTCTCTATTGTTGTCTCTCTTTCCTCTCCTCTATATTTTTCTTTTCTTCATCTTCTTCTTCTTCTCCTCTTTCTTTATTTCTCTTATCTTATTTCTCTTGCCTCTTATTTTTATTTTTCTCTATTTCTTCTCTCTTTCTTATACTTTGATTTTCCTCTCTTATTTTTCTATCTTTGATCTATTTTCTATTTTTCTCTCTTTCCTTATTATTTTTCCTTTCTTCTCTCTCTCCTTATTATTTTCTCTTATTCCTTTATGTTTCTTATTCCTCTTCTTCTTTTTCCTGTATGTTTTCCTCCATTTCTCTCTTCCTTATTTTTTCTTTTCTCTCTTTCTCTCTTCCTCCTATATTTTCTCTTTCTCTCTTTCTCCTATATTTTCTCTATCATTCTCTATTCCTCTGTCTTTCTCTATCTCTTTCTTGAGACACTTGACGTTCGTTCCGTTATATAAGTATCAACAAATTCCCAATGTCTCTGAACACCGTTTACGAACTTTAAAGAAAATAATTCTCATTACTATATTATCGACGGAGATAGAACATTGACAAATTACTTGGCAATAGAACTCAAGCATTTTCGTAAACATTTCCGGAGAACTTCGGCACCTCTCGAGCTTACGTGTGTATTAGACTAAGCTTCATTCAGCTCCTTTGACCCTCGTAAACATTCACCTGGTCATTCAACCCTCCCAAGGTGTTGGGGGGAGGGGAGGTGGAGGTAGCCTTGTTCCCTCTGCGCTAGCCTATTTACCCGAAGGAAAATGACCTGCATGTTTAATAAATCTCTCTCTCTGTCTCTGTCTTTCTTCTCTCTTCTCTCTTCTCTCTTCTGTCTCTGTCTCTCTCTCTCTCTCTCTCTCTCTCTCTCTCTCTCTCTCTCTCTCTCTCTCTCTCTCTCTCTCTCTCTCTCTCTCTCTCTCTCTCCTCTCTCTCTCCTTCTCTCTCTCTTCTCTCTCTATCTTCTATCTCTTCCTCTTTCTCTCTCTTCTCTCTCTCCGTTTTTCCTATTTTTTTTCTCTTTTTTCGTTTTCGAGTATTAACATATATTCGTGTTCTTTATCCTAACCTGTTCGTGAATAGTATTACTAATATTTTATCCCTTTTTTCCATTCCAGGTGAGCTATCTGACCTTCCATTCACCTGTGAGTATTCCTACAAAATGCATAGTCATCTTGGCGTTTATTTCATTCATATTCTCCTTCGTTATGCATTTACCTTCGAACACGTGTTGGGAGGAATACGAGAACCCGTTATTCATGCGGTAGGATCATAGTGTTACTTCATGTGTTATTAATGGGGGTGTAGTCTTAATCAGTCTATATTAATGGGAATGTAGTATTGATTTGTGTGTATTAATGGGCGTGCTGTTGTGATATGTATATTAATGGGAGTTTG